CTTTTTCTGAATATTAGAAGAATTTTTAAATAGGGAGGGAGAGTTCCCATCAAACAATTAAGGACTGTCAGGTCGCCTTACTCCGTTGGCAACCTCCATCTCAAAACATTCATGAACTCTTACCCGCATTGACCAATACCGCTCCTGCGGCATTGGCTGTTCAAAAAGAAGAATATGAACATAAGCTCAATCAACTTACTAGTTCAATGAATACTTTAAAAGAAGAACATGATAAACAAATTAATGACTTTGCTAATAAATTAGAAAATCAGAAGCGTGAATACGAAACGCAAATCAACGATTTTGTCGCCGCTTTGGCCTCTCAAAAGGAGGGATATGAATCACAACTTAACGATTTATCAGCTGTCTTAGCTACAGAAAGGCAAACATTTGAGCAGAAAATTAATGAGTCTAATGCGAAAATGAATGAGTCGAATACGAAAATGAACGAATTGACCGCAGCATTAGATGATCAAAGGAAACAACATGATGAACAACTTAAGCAATATAATGCCTTATTGTCTACAAAACAAGAATATGAAATTGCGCTAAAAGAGCGTGATTCAATTATTTCTAAACTTCAAAATGATATTAGCAGTGTTGCAGCTGAAAAAGGAAAATTAAGTCAAGTTGTAAAACAATTGGAAGAAACTATGAAGTCTAAATCAACAACACAAGAACAAAAAGAGGATAAAGTTGGAAAATTGGAAGACGAAATTAGCAGTATAAAGAATCAACTTTCTAGTTTAGCAATTAGCGCTTCTGTTACACCTACACCGCTATCAGATCCAGGTAATCGCTCCAACAATGGATCAGATGAGACTTCTTCAGAACCTCTGATTGGACCACATATTCCTCCATTCCAAACTGGTGGTGCCGGACAGCAACAACCGCCATCAAGTGGTGGATATATGTATCAGTCACCATATGGAAATTATACACAACAACCTCAATTTTACCAAGGTCAACAACAGTATTATAGTCCAGGTCAAACACCATACGGCTACCAACAACAACCAATTTACGGACAACAAGGTTATCAGCAACCTTACGGACAGCAAGGACAGCAACCTTATGGACAACCTCAAAGTGGATTTGTTGGTGGATTCATGGTTCCTGATGACGCACCACCAGGTTAGTAAGAATTAATTGTGAATTTTGAAATAATCTATGTTAATATTAATGAAATAATCTATTTTAATATTAATGAAATATTTTTATTATTCAGCCTACGATGGTCCTAAAGAGGGGTATAATGATGACAAAAAAGAAAAGAGTTAAAGCTATTTTTACGAGATTTAAGAAATTTCGGATTCATATTTAATTATCCAAGATATTATATTTTTTCAGTAACTTAATTATTGGTTTATTTATATCACATTCACCAATTCATGTATTTTTTATTTAACAAGAAATAATAATCAGATTACATTGTTAAAATTTTTTTATATATAATTTTTATGATTATATGGAATATATAAACATTTTGTACAAATAATATAAAAATAACAAATAAGAATTCGTTGTATTATTATGTCATAAAAATTTAGGTGTCATTACATAAAGTGTGCGTTACACGAAAGTAGGATAAATTTTAATTTAAATGCGTGCACCTTTATCAATAGAAGTACTAGTTGCACCATAGTACGATAAGGTTGGCGGTGTATCATTTCGAGAGATGTCATCATATTCTCTGGACGGTCCACCATTAACATCGGTACTTTCTTCTTCGAAAACTATAGTGTTACTGCGTAAGAATAAGTCACGACGTCGAGTGTCAGTCGTGATGATAACATTAGCTATCCAGTGTATTTGAAGAAAGAAGAAGGATGACGCGATTAGGATAAGATCATATCCTTGAGTTGGACGTTTGTATTGAAACATGAAATTTGCTTTAAAAATTATATACAATGAAGAAAACTAATAATCATATGAATAGAGAAAATATGAATT